TATAATAATATAATGTTATGTATTATTTGCTCATATAATTAGACCATTTAAAAGGTCATATAAATCTGCATTGTATTTGAACGAAAATAGCTAGTAAGAAAAGGTCTTACTAGGACGCTTACAAGTAACGAGTAATCTTCTCTATAATATTATATAAGTATTTAATGATGTAAGCATCGGGTTGAGGTCATCCACTCAGAACAACTGAGCCTTTCTCTTTTGTTTATAATGTTCAAATTTTTAGATAGATACCGCTTTCCCGCAGTTTTGCACTGCTAAAATACATAAGAAATAATTGAAATCATAAATGTCACTATACTCACTTTGATCAAATACTGTAGTTTACTAAATATATATTTTCTCACTTTTCTGTTTTAAATTAATAAACAATATATATATAAAATACTTCATTGATCTTGGCTGAACTTGTATGTAAGTATGTATTTCATTGGTGTATTTTTTCTTTCAATTAGGTCAAAGTAAATTTGCTTGATGTTTGTTATTTCCACCAAGAGTCCCACAAATCCTGTCTTTTGGCGAGTGTTGTACAGCAGATTACCAGATACATCTTGCTGATTTATTATGTAGTTATAAGCTTCTGCTAAAAATGCCTCCCAAGTTTCTTTGTTGCTTTTTCGAAGAGCAGCCTTATAACCTTTGGCACACGGGTTTCAAAAGTTAAGAATGTCAAACATATGATCTATGCTGCGAATAAAGTCGACAGTGGCTTCTGATCCTTGAAATTGTGGAAGTTTAAGAGTGTTTGTGCAATATTCTATTGCATCAGAAACACGGGAACTTAGTGTTTGGCCAGCCAAATTTACTTTCATTTTCTGCTGTCACCATTCTATATGTGCTTCCTTCAACTTGTTTCCAAGTCTCAAGCCTTCGTTATCTTGGAGCTTTTGTAACTCCCAAGATATTTTTTGACCATCGCTTGATCATGTGGCAAATACGAAGGAACACATAAACAATCCCGTTTTTATCTGAAGGATGGATGAAATATGGATGTAGTTGAGGTGGTGTCATACTTGCTCCAAGAGCTTGTAACATAGCGAAATGGCAGGATGGCCCATCACATACAAAAGAAATCACATCCACACAGATATCGTGAAGTTTCTTGATGCACAGCTCAACAAAATTTGCACGCTCTTCACCGCTCAGTCCATCGTTAAAGAAGTAGATAACTGGAACTTTCCACGTTTTTTTCAAGCAAACAACCATAAAAACTAGAGCGTCCTTTGCAACGGGAGAAGAATCATCATCTTCAACGTCGTTTCCAAGATCAACAAAGCCACGAAATTTTTGCCATCCCATAATACATGTTTTTTAATAGCAATTTCATCGATCATTAAGGAACGCTCTAACTTCTCTTCATTTCTTAGTTTCAAGGCAAGTGCTTAAAATGATGGCTGTTGAAATCCTGCTTCAGCAGGGACCTTCGTATACCATTTACAAATTTGTATTGCATGAGGTAAAGCTAAATTGAATGTTTTGCGCACAACATCGTAAGCTTTTGACAAATAAAACTCAAGAGTTAGTGCAAATGACTTAAGTTCTGGTGAGTACTTGGCGCGTCTTTGACATCATTTTTTTGTATAGCTCTGTTGGAACACCAGCTATATTTCTTTCCAGCATTTCTTCGCAAGACGAGGAAATCAGATTCTGTTCTTTGAGCTGTTTTATAACTGACGTCAGTGGGGTAACTTTTTTGTTAAGGCATCTTGCTTTTTGTTGGGTCGACTTAAGTTTCTTTTTAAGTTTTGAAACCTTTTGCAAATGAATATTCTTCATTTCCTCTATTTCATGGTCTTCAAGCATTGTCTTCTTCTCAGGAGGATCGTCATCGTCACTCGACAGTCGTAATTAGCAATCGCTTTCTCGTCATGGTGGTCTAACGGATTTAAGTGTTTTCTGAATACGTTGGTGAAATTTTTGATCTTGCAGACAGTCGAACTGATCTTAATTGGTTTTATCATGTTGATGTACGATGCATGCATATCGTGCAGCAGGCAGAACTAGTTTTAGCTACAGTGTGCAACTCAGTGTGAACAATTACATGTATATAGTTATGCAACTTTTAAACAATCATTTTTTTCCAATCTTTGTTTCTAAAAACTATTATCCTAAATATTTCTTTAATTGTTATTCACCTTTTTCATATGTTGTAGAAAGAGTTTAAAACGAGTTGGAACAGCATCTTTTTGCAACTTAACAACTTTTCCAGATCTGTCAAAACAGCTTTCCAGAAAGTGATCTGAACACAGCCTGCTTGTCGAGCTTGGTGTCCAACGTTCTCTGTGTATATTTTTAATCCATACCATTCTTTGAATATAGAATTGAATATAGACATTGATCAGGCATTAAGAATGAACAAATTGCTTTTGGAGTCAGAAAAGAATGAAATAACTGTATGTCAAAGTTTGTTAGAAAATAAACTTTTAGACTGCTATGCTGAAGAAATTGTTGCAATGATAAACGCTGAAATAAATACAAACTGCAATGGTTGCATGATTGATCATCCCTCTCATCGTCAGCATGATTGTTTGATGATAGAGCATGACGAGAGGATGTCGTTAAATTTGGAGGCCTTGAAAAATGTGGCCGAAGAGATTGTGATCAAAGATTTTATAAAAAGCATTGAAGATGTCAATCCAACCGTTGATGGTCTTGAGATACTAAAATACACTTGTAACGATTGGCGTAAAATATTTGTTTTGGATAAATAGAACAAACTTGAAACACGAGTCAATAAGCTTTTGTAAATATATATTTATTGCAATCTGATATTGAAAATTAAACTATCACACATTGTTCTAAAGGAAATATAAAAACATGTATGAATTTACTTCTTACATGTTAGCACTTCTGTATACATATACGTAAGCTATGTAATATTACATAGAAAAAAATTTTTACGACAACGAGCGAATTAAAAACTGATTCGATAACTGTCTTTGATAAGACGATCCGTCTCTTAATCTGTAATACTATAAGAACAAAAAAGTTAAATGACTTTAATTGCAATGAATTAATTTTACTTTAAAAAAATATCTTTATACGTATATACCCATAAATGAGACATTCAAACTGAATGTCTGTCTTACTGAACATCTTCGCGATCGCATCATGTGATACATGGCCACATGATGGTTTTACCAGATAATCATATCTTCGATCACATTTTTACTTAAGCCTTGGTCAAACGAGCGCAACATTTGCATCCAACATCCCCCAACTTTGTTGTGATATAATGTTGGATGAAGTTTGACGCGAGTCAAATTTTCATCCAACATTTTATGCTAATTTTTGGATGTTGTAATCGTTTGACCACGTGTGACAACATTTGTTGGCTTTAGGCATGCGTATTTGTTAGTTTAAATTCAAGATGGCTGACGAAACAAATCACGATGTGTTGACAAATGAACAGTTTGAACTGCCTTTGACTGACAATGGCAGCCAAACAGGCCACGTACATGCACGCGATATTATTATTAGACAAAGTCCAAAAAAGGCAGTTGCTAGAAAGAAAAAAAAATCCAGAAAATGGACCACAAATGAAGTTGTATCGTTAGTAGATTTGTTCGAAGAACGTGTCTGTTTGTGGGACATCTTTCAAAAAGAATATCATAACAGAGAAGCTAAAGAAAGTGCTTATAACGAGATAGAAGAAATTTTAGGTATATCTGCCAAAGAAATAAAGGCCAAAATTCTTTCCATTAGGGCCCAACTTGAAATTGGAAAGACTAACAACAAAAAATCAGGACAAAATTTGAGTTAAAATTATGCATCCACCTGGGTGCTTTGGAACATCTTCAGTTTCTGCGACCGGTAATGAATGCTGGGAAAAGTAGAGATAACCTGCCATTCACATTGTCACAGTCAAAGGACTTAAACTCATCCACCATCTTAGTCAATGACTCTCTTAATGAAAGAGTTGATTGAGAGTCGATCATATCATCGTTTTCCACTTCTTCCACCACTTCTAAAACAGCAAGGATGCGGTCCCAAACGGAAGAAAGAAAAAAGGAGCTCCTTGAAACTTGTATTGAAGTTTTAAAAGAACCCACTCACACTGCAAATGACACAAACCATTGTTCCTTTGCAATGTATGTAGCAGATAAGTTAAAAATAATGGATGCAAGAACTAGAACAGTTGCAGAGAAACGCATCCATGATATTCTCTTTGAAATGGAAATGAAAGGTATTGGACCTTGTCATCAACAACAAGGATTTAATGTTCCAGTTCAAGCAAATGTTAGACAATATTTCACTCCTGAAAGGCATGATGGACATTCTGTTCCACACTTATCAGATGCTATTCATTTTAATAGCTAATTGCTCTTTTGCTGTTTATAAACTGAAGGTGGACATTTTTTAGTTTTATTAATATTTAATTTATTAGTTTTTATTAAGTTACATGGAATGAATGCTAAATCAATTATATTTATTTTGTTGTTCTAATGATACTGTTTAATAAAATTCAGATCATAGTTTAATAATATAGATGTCTACTCTGCATGAGATAACAATGCAGTAATTTTGTTATATCTGTATGTAGATTAAACTAGCATCTGCTCCATTGCCAATCTATGGCACCATCTGTGCAAAAGTATTGCATGAATGATTGTCTGACTTCTTTTGCATTGTTTGTAGAATTGTGACCTGATGAAGGCACACTTAAGGGTGCAAATGAAGTTGAGTTATGTCGCCACTGACCAGGAACAATATTTCCATTTAAATCTTCAGTGTCATGTAGTCCAACATGACAGTAAATATTTTTTGATGAGCTCTTGCGTAAATAGTTATGAAGGATGAGTGCTGTGTTTGTTATTGATTGGACTATTTCTGGGGACAATTGAAGAGGTGTTCTTAAGAATCGCCATCTATTTGCTAGAATTGCAAACAGGTTTTCAACGATACGTCGTGCCTGGCAATGCCTGTAATTATATACTCTTTTTTCAACAGAAAGATTTTGCTGGGGATATGGCTTCATCATGAAAGTTTTTAATGCAAAAGCATCGTCTCCTACAAATACATATGGGAGGAATTCTGTACCACTGGAAAGTTGTTCTGGTGGCAAATCTATCCCACCGATATTCCTCAGTCTGTCTTGGTTGGTTTGATCATATAAAGCATAGGGACACAGAAACTAATTTTTGGGAGGTAGTTATAATCACTATTAAAAAAATTTGATACAATATGGGACAGGCTGACTGCTTGAGTAGATTATTATGTTACATCTGTTGTTGTTGTTGTGATTGTAGGAGAACACTGAAGAACCTATAACCACATCAGAATCCCTTCCACTAGGAGAAAATTTTGTTACAATAAATATGCAGGAGTTTGACCTAACCGCATGGTCTCCCTCAACAAGTAGAAGTGATTCAAATGTCAGTGAAAATTCGTGTACAACACCTACATTACCTACTACACCTACCACACCAGTAAGTAATGACCCTTTTGCCCCTTCCACAATTGCTTTGAGTAGAGCTGTGGTAAACCCGACAAAGGGCTGTAGAAAGAGATCTGCACATTTAGAGACAGCAGTTTTTGAAAGACTTGATTCTTTGAAAAAGATTAGAGAAGAAAGAGAAACAAAACATATGAAAATTGATGAAGAAAGTCGCTTTTCAGATACTGTGGCTGACACTCTCCGAAAGCTTCCAGGCAAGTTGAAGTCTGAAGCTAAATTTTCCATTCATAAAATATTGTTTGAAATGGAACAAAAACTTTATGAAAACAATGTAGACCAATAACTTTCTATATTTTATAAGTAACAATCTATTATTTCATACAATTAAATATTCATTTAGTTAAGAAAACCTTGTTGTATTACATGATCTTGCCATGGTAGCTTTCCAAGAGGAGACATAAAAAATGATTTAAAGTCATTTCTTGTTGCTGTAGCAGCTCTAGAAGCACGAGCACTTGAAAGTCTTAATATTCTCAAAAATGTTTTGTTAACCCACAACTTGTCTCCACTCTCCAGGGAGGACTTCGTGAGATGCAGTGGTTGAATCACTGAAATTGGGAGAGGAATATCTAGTGCTAGGTATATTAGCAGCATCAGTAAATAACAAGAAATTGTGAAGTGCAACACATGCCTTCACAATTTGAACAGCTTTCTCAGGGTAAAATTCCATTGGTTTTCCAAGACTTCTCCATCTAGCAGTCATGATACCAAAGGCATTTTCAATTACCCTTCTAGCTCTGGAATGGCGGTAGTTATAAATTTTCTTCGAATTGTCAAGGTCATTACGTTAAGAGTAAATAGAACAAAAAGGGCATTAAAATCAACTGTTTTAGCAAATTTACTGAGGCTTGGGAAACTCTACCAACAAGCATACAAGAAATTATTTTGATTGCAATTCTTGTGGGGAATGAAAAAAACATTTTGAATGAGTCTTACAGAGACATAAATTGAATAAATTTATTTCATTTCTGAAGTCACAAACAGTTAATATAAATATTCAAAAATATATGAAATAACAAGCTTAGCGCGAGCGCATCTGTCTCGCGCAACTCGAAAGTACGCGCGTCGCTTGTCGCGCGCAGCATAAATCGGCCTTAATACATTCACCCGAAGGAAGAGAAAAAGACATACGGTTTTTACTGAAAGTATAAAACGACGCATGTTGCGAGGCCATCCTTCTTTAATTGCATGTTTGGATTTTTTCAGAGTTTTTATGATGTAAGCATCTCCACAAAGGCTCTCTGTTTCGTAAAAGCGATGCAGTTAATGAATGATGAGACCCCCTCTGGAAAGATATCAAACAATGTACCAAAAAGGGATTACTGATTTGAACAAGCATGAGTCTCACACTTGAATGTGATTCTATTCAATTCTTTACTCGTAGCATGAATGAGACCTATTCTTCTTTAAAGAAAATCATTCATTTGTAAATGATTATTCATGTGAAGGCCAACACTTTAAAAAAAGGGACGAAATGTTCTTGTTGCACTTCAGCTTGAACAGGGCTTCATAAACGATTTAAATCTCTGTTAAGAGAGCAAATAATCGGAACATCATGGTTTCGATTGAGAAATATCCATGTTTCTGTGGTGCAGGCCTGGAGAGAATCATATCTAAGAAGGATAAACGTGCATATGTTAAATGCAGAGGTGAAGGATGCACATTGTTCTCTCACGGTACCATATTATAATGGATGCCTACGAAACGAAAGTCGTGAAAGAATTCAATCCTAACAAGTTCCCCCTGTGTGAATGCGGTTATCCAGGTAGTCTCATGGACTCCAAATCGAGCAATAATCCTGAAAGGCCATATTTTCGATGCCAATCTATCCCGACGAAGAAAAATGTAGCTTTTTCCATTTGGGGGACGTAACTATGAATAGCAAGATCATAAGGAAAAAGAACCTAAAACAGTCGTCGTTAAGAAACAGAAAAAAAGGACCAACCCTTTCCAGGACGATGAATAAACACGAAACGTTAAGCAATAATAATAATAACAATGCATGCACGAACGGATGATCACTGTATCTAACTATAAAAAATTCACGCAATAAATTTTTGTAATGTATCGCTGTGAGTGTTTTTTCATTACACACAATACCTTCCTGAAGACCTGAAGATGTTATATGTTTGTAATTATTCAATTACTCTGTAGGATTTCAATGAACATATACAATAAAATGAAGCATGATTTCACAAATTGCTATTACTGCATGAAAAACATCGCCAGATGATCATGGGGGAAAAAGAGTATCTAGAGCATTTACGTGTTCGAGCCATCAGAAAAAATGTAAAGGCAAAACGTTTGCTGAAAAAAGTTCAGAAAGAAATCTCTAAAGATAAAACGGATATTTCGAAAGTGTTAAAATGGGTAAAAAAATCAAAGAAGTTGTTGCAGCAAAGTGGAAGAAAGAAACAACATAAAAATCAAACTAAAAATCATGAAAAATCTATTAACTTTGTGCTTGAAAAAGTTTCGAAACAGTATGTTTGTAAATTTGGTGCCAAGTCGTGTATATTCCGTGCTAACTTAGACGATCTATCCATTCACGATAAGCAAATAAAAGTCAAAGACATCATGAAGAAAGAACACCATTGGAAGATTGTCTTCGTGTAATGATTAGATCGAATGCTTTGAAAACACCAAACAGCACTAAGCTTCTTCCTGCCGCTGAAATTAACTCTAACAAAATTTTGGGTGAAATTACAAAAACTTTGCAGAGTAATGAGGATATTCCTTTGGACAACTCGTTTATCATCGACCGTATTGGTGTAAAAGCGCCTGTTGGGAGTGGTAAGGCCTTCAAAGTCTTAGATTATTTTCAAGACAGTTCTTTAAAAAAATCGATTGTAACTATCGGAAATAATGATAACCTACAGTGTTGCCACTCACTATTTTACAAATTCCCAAGATTTTGAGCAAAAAGTCCCAAGATCCTTACAAATATCCCAAGATCCCCCACAGTCGTTTCTGGCGGACCCCTTTGTCATGGGTACACGATTAGCCGCACCAATGAACGCATAATGTAAGGACTGGAATGAATTGATTTTTGTTTTAATTTTAATTTCATAAAAATTGATAGTTTATGTATATAAGTGTTGAAATGATCAAATATAGTTCGTGAAACGCAACAGTACATAAAAAAGTCAAACATGGTGATGGTAACATCGTTGAAACAGCCAAATCAACAACATGCTAAGTGCTAACCAGACCCTATCTCAACAGTCTCTTCGTTTACAATGTCATAAACATCAGTCACATTTTCTTCCTGTTCCTGACGCTGACAATGTTTCTTAAAGTACTCCCTCCGACAATGACCAAATTGTACGTCTTTTACAAGTTTCGTAGACGGCTCCCACGTGTAGCAATGCGCACCTTGTCGAGCAATAGCTTGTCTTGCAATTAATCTGTTCCTCAAAGTTCAACAATGTAGGCGGTATGTTTGAGGAGTCTTTATCATGTTAACTTGGGAAAAAATTCTCTCGACACAGGCAGATGAGTGAGGCAAAACAAGCAGGTTGCACATAAAATTTCCCAAAAGTTCAAACTTTTTATTGCCGTTACCATCTTTAATAGCTCTGATCTCATCCCAAAAAGTAATTTTGCATAAAATTGATGGTATGTTTGTTTTTTTAATTTTTTAAGTTGTGGAAAAATCAGGAACATCTGACCCAATAGATCATTCATACTGTGGAATGTTTCCTAAAGAGGTTTTTACTTGCAGTCATTGATTAAATTATAATATGCTCTACGATAGCTCCTTTCATGTTACAGGACTTGTTTAAAGCCGTTAGTGGTGGTCCCAACTGGATTGCTGTAAAACCAGTCAATCGCGAATGGGGCGTGTGCACATTTACTTATTCTAAAGTAGCACTACCTCAAGCAGAGCTAAGATGTTCTAATTGTTCATCTTACCTCTGCATTCATGTTACAACTCTTGGGAAGGCGCTGGAAATCGTACAAGATGATGACGACTCGCAGCTAGCATATTTTAAGTTAGCTTTTGAAACCTCACCTGAAATGAGAAATTACTACGAGTTGGCAATTCATAGTGAAAAAAAAGTTAAATTATTTGAAATAGGTAAAGTAGTGTAGTAAATGGAAATAATATATATGTGTTTGTGTAATGGGTGGCCAAAAAACATGGAATCATCATTTAAATTTCAATACTCATTTTTTCGCACAGGTTGTGATGAGAATGATGCCAATCATTTTGCTAAGCTTCTGGCTATGAACTGGTCAAAGATATTCGTACCTAGTGCTTGTGGTACTTGCTCTTGTGGTGCTGCTTGGGATAAGCGTGATGTATCAGATGACTGGCTGGATGTGGAAGGCTGTCATGTGGCGTATCTTTATAATTTCCACTGTGTGAATGGTTTGTAAACTGAATTATTTATTACTTTCTTTGTATTAGTGTCACGACTACAATCTTCTGTGAATTTTTAGTGTATTATCGACCGTGTTCTACATGCACAAACAAGAAGCGGTACGATGGTATCGAGAACAACGTCTTGTGGTTTGGATCATTTTCCATTTCGCATGCAGTCCTCAAAGATTATATAAGGCATTTTTTTGTTTCAAGGTACGTGTGATAGTCAGTTATCAAGTATGAAGTAAACATTTTTATCTACATGATTATGAATTCATGAAAATATCTTTTCATCTTTTAAATGGTTTAGCCTGCCCATGTATAAATATTACGTGACGTACGTCCAAAGACAAGTTATGTCAGGAAATTTGAATTTTTCTGGCATTATAACTTACACCAAGTTTCGTCTGGCAGTTACTGCAATGATTAGGTAACTTTTTTTTTATTTCAACCTGCACCAATGTTTTAGGTGAGTTACATGTATTTAAAAGTTTATTTGATCGGATATTCGTTTGTTTAAATTAACTTTTGTTGTAATGCTAAATATAAATGATAAAAGTATGTATGCTACCAATATATATATATATCTGTAGCACTTACGTATGTTTAGCATTTGATCATTTCATTGGTGGTGAATTTATGATAAGGGTGGGGAGTGTAGGTGCACAGAGGTGCTCCCACCTGTAGGTAATGGTCAACAAAGGGTACATAGAGAGGTACAAAAAATGAAAACACTATCCTACTTTTAATGTCCAAGAAAGTCTGAACATTTATTTACTATCATTTTACTTTCCTTATGAAGTGGCAACACTGAATAGATCAAATGGCATTCTTATTTATTTTGTTGACAAAAACAGGCAGTATTGTATCCGCTTTTAAGAATAACTATGTTAATTGGTTTTTAACAATAGATCTAAAAAATCCTAGCTGGATACAACACTGATTTTTTACGCTATTTAGATTACTTGACATTGACTTTGTTGACACTTTTCATTGTAACATCTGTGGAAAACATCCGAAAAAAGTTGTTATGGACGGTACGGCACTTGGTATCCAAAAAACCTTCTTGCCTCGTAATGTAGCTCCCCCAGAAGGCCCTACGATGGATGGAAGATAAGTGTTTTTTCTGGGTGTGTATTTTTTCATTGGCTAGCTGGACATGTGTTTTATTTTGGGGCGGATTTTTTCCAACACTAGGTTCGAAACACGGAACTTCCTCAATCGGAAGAGGCAGAGAGAGTTGTTGAAGAAATTTATAAAGAACCAAATTACAGAAGACGAACTCGTGGAATTAACCTCGGAAGTATGAATGTTGTTAGTTGTTTATTGATGTACAATATGCTAAGAACATGTTGTAGCTATTTTTACAGGCTATTTTACTATTGCTCGTTTATTTAGATTTCATCTCCTGGCCTAAAAATGCTAATCGTATCCCTTAGAGAGGAACATTTTGGTGTCACGTTTCCAGAACCTTGCATAAGACTTCTCAAAGCACTTGCGTCAGATAAACCTGTTTGTGCAATTGTACCTCCTGTGAGAGAGGTGAAGGATTTGTTGATCAGAATTGCCAACGGAGCAAATCCAAAGGACAATCCATTGTCCTATTTACAACTTTTGCACGAACAGGTCCCCCTCTTGTTTTGTCTTTGCAATCATTTTGCAGAGCTGCCAAACCTCATACGTGTTTTGTGTGGGGAAATGGTCGCCAAAGCGTCCAGTCCTTTTACTGACCAAAACGGGTGAGAGCCCCACAACCTTCCCCAAGTTCAGTGTGATGGTCAGTTAGGTTTTTTTCCATCTTTGCCTTCTCTTGTTGAACGTGGGCACTATGTTCTTGACACAAAAAGAGCTGGTCATTTATATGATTGTGCCAAAGGCGTTCGTTCAAAGAAGAAGCATGGGTCTTTAATTCCTGGGATATTCCTTATTTTATGTCCGCACGGTATGGCAAAGAAGCATTAATGTTCTTGATCATAGAATGACAGGAAAATTCATCCTGTAAACTCTCCTCATTGAAAAATTATGAGATTTTTTTATTGTTTTTTAGGTATTTGTTACGGCTTTCAAGTGATGCCCGATCATGAATCACCCAATGTTCCTTTTACCATTTTAAGAACTCGATTTTCTGAAGGTAATTTGAAGTTTTTGAGGTATTTCTCATTCTTTTATGAGAATTGTGAAATTGTTAGCGTTTCGTTACACCCAATTGTAAACAAATAAACTTATAATGTTTAGCTCCTGAACTAGTGATCTATGACAACGCGTGCAAACTACACGAGTACTGCCTTAACCGCGATCTTGCTTTTTTTAAAAAATCCCAATTCATCGTCGACAAGTTTCATTGGAGAAACCATTCTGGTATAAAACTCGTATTTTATTATGCTAAGTGTGTCGAAATTGAAACGACTCATATCTTTGACTCTTATAGGTTGCTCTGAGGGATACGATATTAATAGATATCCCATTTTAAAAACGCACAACAGCCAAGCTGCAGAGCAGTGTAACTCTGTAATGAAGCCACTTGCGTCAATGGTTTCATACATGGAATATGACAACTTTTTGCTATTTTCGAAATTGTATATTTGGTACAGAAACATGTTGCGCATAATAAAATGCAATCCTGGACGGGATGTTCCAGAGAGGGAAACGTTTCTTGCAATCAGCAATATTATCAGATATGTAGTATTTGAAAACCAGTATTATTTAATTGGGAACCATGTTGAAACGAAATGCTAACACTTTGGAACAAACAAAAAAAGTCTAAGTAACAGTTGAAATATTTTTCTAAATTCATCATTTTTAAAGAAAATACGTCATATTTATGACATATCTGCGTAACGTATAGCTGTAACATTTTGTCCTCAAACAGCTTCATATTTTTCGCATTTATAGCATAATGAAAAATTTTGGATATGAAAATGAATGAAATCAATTTTTAAAATGTTGAAATCATAACTCGCACGATATTATAGCTTTTCAACGTCAATGGATAATGCTGGTACTCATTAGTTATTAAGTATATATATTTACTCCACGATTATTCTATGTAGTAGTAATGTTGCACCTCATGACACAATCAGAGTTTATATGAAGAAGTAATTGAACAAATGTGCCGAGCATTGACCATTTATATAACGCCTGTTTTTCATTGTGTGTAAACAGGTCGACTGTTACAGGGACTGAAGAAGCTCTTTTAGCTGCGTACGTCTTCCCTCACTGTTTATATTTTCTATCGATGAGTTGATGCATCCCTAAAATATGATAAAATTATCTGTTATATGTCACATACTGGAATATGTTGCTTTTAAATTATTTGCATATTTTGCGACAGCAAATGTCTACATAACAAAATACCTCCTTTATTATTACTCTTGCAAACTCTAACAAATATACGCCGCAATCGTGACCATTTTTTTGCCTTGCAACCTGAATGGTGATTAAATAACAACGTTTGTGACATATCCATACATTGACTTTATAGATCAATGTGTTTATGCTTGTCAAACAATTACTCGACTTACATCTGCATAAATAGGCTCTGAAATGCTTCCCATGTGGTCTGGCCATTGTTGCTCTTCTTTTACGTGTTGGAGATACTTTAACGTTAAAAAGCTGTTTATGAAGTTAGAAAACATGTCGGTACATATCAAAAGAGGCAACCTGTTAGTTCAGTATGTATAGAAATAACAACCTTATGTTTGAAGCAACAGTTTTATTCTTCCAACCCATGCTGCACAACACGTATAAACGACTTGTCAAAAATTCAAAGACCACTAGCCACCAATGTGTCCTTTAAAATATATCATGTCTCAAGTATCTCATAGAATTGAACTATAGAAACTGATTTTCTTTGTAAAATTCTTACATGTCGCAGACTGGTATAAAAATCATTTTATATTGATACATGTTTTTAGGTGTGTATCTCCTCACTCCATGTAAGTTGCATCCCGAAAGATCTAAGGGTTGCTTTGATCTGAAAAAATTGCAAATATTATAACATGTAATTATCTCTAGAATCTAGGGAGAAATATTGACCGGACACTTACACGTGTCCTTTCACGAGTAGTTTCTGTTGGAAAAAACTAGAAAAGGCATAATATTGTTCCCCATCGTCTTTTCTTTCTGCCGTTTTGCAGTAATACCTATTGCATTCATGTAATTTAAGTTAGCTTGTAAAGTTTTTATTGCTTCCTTCTATATGTTAGATTTGAAACATTTCACATTACCTTAAAAAAAAGTCAATTATGGTATCACACAACCACTTGCTTCCATTTAATGTTTCGACATCACTCTTGTATATTACAATGCCATCAAAACAGTTCACTCTAAAAAGGCATTGATGCAACCTTTGTCGTTTTCCTTTTTGTCAAATATTTTCAATATATGAATGTCACCTTTCACTCTCTTCACTGCATTCTTTCCTGTCAAAGATATAGTTTTCTATTATCGTCAGGAATTTTCTTCACATATTCAATAGAAACATTTACATGAGACATTCAATTTTTTATTGACCTGATTGTAGTTGCTGGCTTTTTTCTTCTAGTCGGTCTCTTTTCAGATGTTTGCTCCATAAATACATAACTATTTTGAAAAGTTTTGCCAACTGTCAAACTAAAGTAGCCTATTCCTCGGTTGTCCATAACTTGGCATAAACACGGAAAATAGATATGGAATAGTTCAAACTGGGGACTCCATATTTCCAATGACGCACGAAGTGCTCCAGCAATGCATTGAACATGCGTGTTAGTAAGGATAACCACTAAAAAAGGGAATAATTTGCTTGTCATGTAGGTTTTCTAAATTTGTTTAATATTAAAGAATTTTCTTCGTGATTTGAATTTTGAGAATGTTCACCTTCAGTGTTGAAATCTTGTATTTCTTTTATAATTTCTTAATTTGAAATTGCTTTACTTGTTTGTCGTGAGCGCTAGAAAAAGATGTGTTCCTTTTATAAATAAAAAAACTTAGAGATTTACAGAGCAAAATATTACTTTGGATGCCAAATGACATTGATGTGCAACTCCGTATAGAAATGAATCAAGTTGAAGTCTATTGGGATCAATGCTTAAAGCGTTGAAAATGTCTCCAGGACAACTTGTGTCGTAATCATGTGGAATGCCCATGAGGTCTTTTTCATGTGACCTACTCAAATATTGTTAAGGAATCAACAAATTGTCATTTAGATTAGAACCGTTCAATCAGTCAATAAACATTAGCATTTCATACTTTAAATTTTTCGTAATAGGATGTTGATGTGTATCAGCTAAGTCCAACAATTCGTAGGCTGTTTCAACACATTTTAGGGGGTCTTTTAACGTTGCGCGAACAATACAAGCTATTTCTCTCTAAAATGGATTGTGGTATCGTTTTGAAATTTAAAAAAATAAATGTGAGTTTCTAAAAGTTTTCTTACTTTTTCGTACATGTCTCTCATCTGTTGTAAATTCACTAATTGTGTATCCTCTTCCTGATGGGTATAGAAAAAAACGTTCATTTCTGGTACGCTGTTTTTTGTAATTTCCTGGACGTTCATTTACCCTTTCATCCTCTTTTATGTTATTTAATGCAGCTTCGTTATCAACAAATTTGTTTTCGAAATCTTCTCTTTTCTCGCTCTCATCACTTCTTTTATCTTCTTTGCTTGTATACGTATCTTTTCCAACATTCGCATCTCGATTAGTTTTCTTGGGAATGAAAGCAAATAGCAGTTCGTGTTTAAATGTTCTTATATTATTTCTTAAAAGATGGTTAGTGTGTACCTCTTGTCTTCCTTGACCAAATGATTGTGTTGTCTCTTCATTTTTTTCATGTCCAGTAAACTAATTAAACAAAAGTTAAGAGAAGCAGTGAGTTGTCTTCTATATACTAAATCTACAACAATAATACTCACTTCATGAACGTATTCTCCATACGATAGAGCGATCTCTATCAGTTCTTTCTTATTTAAAATTTTTCTCGAGCGTTCTGTTTTATCATCAAATTCTTCTTCATCGTAATCATCCTCTGAGAATGGTGTACAATATGTAAATAAAAACAATCAAAATATTGAAGATTGATTCACTTGATTTACCTGAAGGTTGATTAATCCTGGCAGATGGAGAAACAAATGGGATGTGAGGAGGCCAAAACAACGGTTTCTCTGCTTTAAGCCAAAAGTCTCTCACTCTAGCCACTTTCCACTTCCGTTTTCCTTTCTTGTCCAAAACCAATCTTGAATTCACGAGGTCTGCCGTTGTATATCAGAAATTAGTTACTCACAAATATACAAAAATAGTTTTTACCGATGTCAGCTGTTCTTGGGAAAACAATATTTAAAACCAGTTTCCGTAGCTCTTTGCACGACCAAGTCCCTTGTTTTATTTCTTCCAAAGCATCAGGATCAACAAGATCAGAGCGTATCTACTGCACTTGATAAACGTCTTCACAGCTTTCTAATATAATATGATACAGACTTTATTGCAGCATTGTGACACCTTTATTTGTTTTTTTATACAATTTAGAAACAACAAAATAAAAGTTAGTACTTGGGGAGTCAGTTGTAATCAAAGAATTGTCTTCAACATATTTGCACATGGCATCTCGGGAAATATTCAAGATTTCTCGACGAAGGCCGGGCGTTCCTGTTTAAATGAATTGATTACATTACTTCTATACCGACAATCGTATTTTAAACACAAAATAATCCAATTCAATTCTTAACTTCTACACAAGTCTAAAATCTTTTTGATAGAAGAATTACCTGCAGCTTTAACCGTTCCATGTCCATCAAGATATAGCAAAACCATCGGATTGAGGCTCTTCTCCGATGACATTAGATCAATCTAAAAATATTTATAGAGCATGTGATTTATAGCTGTTACATTTCAAATTTAGTCAATATTTTCTGCATTAATCAAAGAGGGTACAAAAAGTTTATCATTCTTTTACCCTGTCTGCAATACGTTTTTTCTTTCTGTACACATTGTGCGCTTCACTTTGAGAAATCGATAGCTCTTTTTTCTTCAAAAATAAACATGACGTTCAGATAGAACTCTGGTTGAGAATTCATTTACTGTCAACGTACACATAATCTTACCGGTCTCTTGCTTTTAGAATAAACTTTTCCCTCGTGAATTTACTTTACTTTTTATATTGGAAGACATCTCAACAATAATTTGAAGCAGTTTTCAGTAAATAAGCGACCTAATCAAATTCTAACAAACCTTGCAGAAATATTAAAGCAAATGTTTTCGGTGCCAAGTAATTTATAACGGATCGAGATGCAGCTATTTATTTATCCTGTTCGTCAAAGAATTTAAGTGTGATCTGTCACATTAGTGTTTTTATAAAAGGAAATGACAAATTTCCGTGACACTATTGTGTAAACCAGGTGGGAAAATTAGTAAAATTTCAGATATTATAAAACATACCGGAAAATGGTATGTATAACCATGATGAAATGATGGATAAAAAACAAGTAAATTTTTACGAGGACTTAAAATTTCATGTTTGTGTGTCACTATGGCGTAAACCAGATGAGAAAATTAGTAAAATTTCAGATATTATAAAACATACCGGAAAATGGTATGTATAACCATGATGAAATGATGGATAAAAAACAAGTAAATTTTTACGAGGACTTAAAATTTCGTGTTTGTGTGTCACTATAGTGTAAACCAGATGAGAAAATTAGTAAAATTTCAGAGATTATACAACATACAGAAAATGGTATAGATAACCACGATGGTTATACTTCTATAAATCAAAGTTCTAATCCCTTGTAACCTCACGTACAGGCGTTTTTTCTTCATGGTATCGATCTTTTATCTTTGGGAAACGATTTTATTGTGAACGCTGTTCAAAATTTGTTAACAAATACATTCATCACGCTTGTTTTAATTTGAATTTTAAAAATAGCTTGCTTTTAAACTTTGATTCGTTGAAAGAAATGATTTATAACTATGTATTAAAACCATCAACTGTAGAAATAGACAAATGTAAAATAGTCAGAGAAAAATGGTCGCGCAAACTTGTAAATAGAAATCAAATTAAAAAATATCAAGTTGTCTTTGACAAACGAATAATAATAGACGAAGGTGCCGATACTATTCCCTATGGCTATCATTGGTTTCCGACACTTGAAAGTTCACACCATCAGACTTCTCCCACACACGATGCGATGACGGATGATATTTTGTTTACATCCGTTCATCAAATTGTGCAAGAAAATGACATGGAAAGGGGCTCTGAAGAGGAGGAAATTAGCAAGTCGATTGATTTAACGTTAACCGACTGCGATAACGATGAAGTCTTTTCCGAAAGACAATCAGATATGGAGTTTCTAGATGACAGTGATCAATCCAACAGTGAATCTTACAGACAAGTGGATCAACAAATATAATACCAGTACAGATAAATGAATAGTTAAACAGTTTTCAATCAATGACAAACAAACTAACAAACAAATATACATATTTTTAGACTGAGGTTGTTTGACACATTTCTACACTGGACAAGGCTAACGATGATTGAACACTATACGCAGTCATTTCTATGTGATCAGTATGTACAGACGGGAAACAGCGACGACAATTGTGAACCATGCAATACATGAACATTATACAGACAAATATGGAAACTATCGTAGAAGGAACCAACACATAAAAGTTGACAGTTTTTTCTTTCGCTGGTGGAACAAAATACATAAATGATGAAGACAATACCATTGATTCTGACGTTGATGGTGATAACGACAAGGAGGGTGATGACTGTAAAGATGAAGACAACAGCTGCGAATGAAACAGTGGTGATGTGATGATGAGAGTGGTAGTAACAGTGGTAATAACGACAACAGAGATGATGACTTTGACGTTGAGAATGATATCGTTGAATGTGGAGGTGTTGATGACGTTGACGGCGACAACAGCAAAGATGTAGAAGAGGTTGAAATGGAGGTTGACATGTTAAAAAAATCAGCTAGGGGTGAACATAATTAATGACGATGGAAGAAGAAAAAAACTGGCAGATGTATGGCGTTCCATTCCGGTCATAATTATATGAAGTTGATCAAACGAAAAACAATTGCTCATAAATATGTCGAACTTTCAAAGTTGAAGTTCAAACGTTAAAAACTAAAACAAAATGCCCAATGTCAATAGCAAACATCGATGCATACAGTCGAACCGCTCAAAAATAAATCGAAGTGCAAAAATATAAGTCGAAGGGAAATGGAAGTCATGTACTGCAGTAGGAAGCGGAAGTCTTCTTGGACGAACAACTGATATAATTTTTCCCGAAGTAAACAAAATGGCTGTTAGAAACCAAATAAGCGCTATTGAGCTAGAGGAATTCTTTCGTTCATTACAAGAGCTTTTGATTTCTTCATTCAACGATGTGTCTTTTGACTCAGCTGAGTATATTTCTCGCCGTCTCGATGGATATGAAAGAAATCTAAGTGTATTATTGGCAAGACTGCAAGAATCGTTTCCTAATGAAGCACAATTGCTAACAGATATGAGAGATCTTCTTGGTATCGTTCGTACCCAGAAAGAAAGGTCTGAGGTATTATCATTTTGCTCATTAATGGCAGAGGAACAGCAAACTAATGACCAAATAAGTGTAAACCAGATTAGGAGTTGCGTTGGTCGACCCAGACTTCACGTTTCTGAAGAATTGCTGGGGACACTACACTCTCAGGTTGGATTTTCGTGGTCGCAGATTGCAAGAGATCTTGGCATTTCTGAAAGTACCATACGTCGCAGAAGACGATTGTTTCAAATGCCAAGTCAACAGGTATTTTCTAACATAGAAAATAGCGTTCTTGATCGACTTGTCTGTGAAATCTTGGATGTGACGCCTAGAATTGGTTATAGATTAATACAGGGTGCGTTACGACAACGTGGACTGCATGTCCAACGACGACGAGTTCTTGAATCGTTGCACCGGGTTGACCCAGTTGTGGTAACCCTTAGAGGATCAAGAAGCATCATACGAAGACGCTATTCCGTTCCTTGTCCAAATGCGTTATGGTATGTGAAATATTCATTAAGGGAAAACTGGTGGTAAAATAAAACTCTATCTTTCTTTTGTAGTCATTGAAAATCATGTTAGTTTATTGGCACATGTCAAAAGGGTTAAAATTTTGTAGGCATTTGGATGGGAATCACAAACTTATTCAACCGTATCGTATTGTAATTCATGGTGGCATAGATGGGTATTCTAGAATGATTGTCTTCTTAAGAGCATCAACAAACAACCAAGCATCTACTGTAATGGAATGCTTTAGGATGCTGTTAATCAGTACAACTTACCTTCACGTGCGTACTGATTTAGGGTTAGAGAATATTGAAGTTGCTCGATTTATGCTTCAATATCGTGGTCTGAATAGAGGCAGCTGCATAACAGGTACATCTGTTCACAACCAGGCGTATTGAACGACTTTGGCGTGAAGTTAACTCAATTGTGTGTAGTCGTTTTATCAATATTTTTGCATACCTTGAAACTCTTATTCTAGACACTAATAATGAAATTCATTTGATTGCATTACATTTGGTGTACATCCCACTCATTAACAATGCACTGCAGAAATTAAGTGAATCGTGGAATTGCCATTCTTTGAGCACCGAGGGAAATCTTAGCCCAAGGCAGCTTTGGGTACAAGGAATTGTTGCTAATCAAAATAGTGATTTTAGTGCTGTGACTAGCATTCGAGACGGGTTACAAATAGATTGGAATGAGTATGGAGTTGAAGAAGATGGCCCAGTTTTAGAATTGCAGTCAAATTATTGTGTTAGAGTGCCATCTTCAACAGTATGTTTAACAGAAAATCATGTTGAACACCTAAATAATATTGCTCACAGACTAAGGGGGGCAGGAGACCAAGATGGACTGATAGCTTTTTTAGTTGTATTGGACAACATTCAGCAACATAGTTAGATATATTTACTACTAAAATGACTGAGCTGATCATATCCAATACAAGACTTTGTTAAGAAGCATTTAAAATGCAATAGATATAGTAACTTTTAAGTTCAGCACTAATAGTGTAAAAGTCAACATACAAACAGTTTCAAATCTAACAAAACTTAGTTCTGTTTTATATACCCTCTATACAATTCCAAAACCTTCTTCTTGGAAAGGCTGAATCCATATTTCTTTCAAACTCTTCATAGTTTTTTACCTCACCAGGTAATTCCAATTCCAATGGACATGTGTTAGCATTGGGGTAAATGAATGTATTTTGAAGAGTAGTTATACTTGATGGATGAAAACCCATTGGAGGTAAGGATTTGCAACCAGTTGAAAACATCAAAACACTAGGAATTCTAGAACCTGTAATAATTAAAGTATATTAACATCATGATTTAAAGAATGTTGCCAAAACAACAACATGTACAAATTCTAAAAAAATATAACATACTTTGTGATGAAAGATACTGAGTGAAAAACTGTTTGATGCGAATCTCAACATTATCAAACTGAACAACAGATAAAAAATCATGGAGTGTCAAAGGTGGGCAAGTACCAGCCACAAATAAGGTTTCCATCTTGTCTGGATGTCTTCTGATTACGTCAAGAAGTGGGCATAAGCCGATCATCAATTGATCAATTTCAGCCTTCCTGGATAAGATGACTCCATGCAGACACAAGGACATAATAGCTTGAAAACGATTATCAATATTGACGGGATGAGGAAAACCTGACTCAACTAACAAAGGTTGAATTTCAGAAGCCAAGGTTTCGTTGTTTTCTTCATCAAAAGCATCTAGCTTTTAAAAGTATAAGCCAAAGTTAATTTTCATAGTTGTAAGAGCACAGAAAAAAATTGATTACTTTTCTAATCACCTTTTTGAAGACATCTACATATTCAGCATCAACAACATCCTCTGGACGGAGGTGATCCACCACGTCATTAGGCTGAGGGTTGAGGAAATATGCATACAAAACCTTTGGAAAATATGGAAAACCAGGACCACCATGAACTATTGATGCTGCAATAATCCATCCAGCCACCTTACACAGATTTGATCTAAGAGCATCTGTATTGTGCATTGGTAAAAAAATTCCATCTCTTCCTTCAAAAAGACGAGGAGTAGCTGATGGAGAAAGGAGTTCACGCAAGAGTAAAGTGAAGAACTCTCGTTTAGGGCCACCACCAATTGCTGATTCGTCTTCAAATGTGACCTTCAATGGTTTCTTAAAATCAAAATGTCTGTGTTTGAAAAATGACACACTATCAGCAAAAATTGATGATCTGCTGACTGTCAAGCGTGTAGGAGTCCCAGGGATGGGTTGTAGAGAGTATAATAGGTCTTTTAAACATGCATCCTCCTCAATTTTAGAGCCATCAAATTGTTGTTCATCTGAAAAAAATGTGAAAATTTACATTACTTTATCCAAATTTGTTGACTATGTAAACTTTCTTAACTACCTGGAAATAATTACCTGACTTGGAAGGTATATGACTTATAAAATAGTCCACAGCCAGATCAAGTGTTGTACAATTTACAGCTTGTGCAAACACTTCAGCGGGACAATTTGGGAACATTTCATCTAGTTTCTGCTTTTCAATGCTACAGAGATTTAAAGAACTTCTTATGCCATCGGAAGTTTCACCTGTCTCACAAGCAATTGGGAGCAATGGAGTGGTAGTTGGAATAACAGTAACATATTGCTCACTGCTTTGCCTTTGATTGGACTCCAAATTGCGTGATACATACGATCTTATATCACTACTTCTGACAAAATTATCCACATTATCACTCAATTCAACAATGTCATCATCCTGAATAAAACTCATCATAGTAAATGCATGATTTTGTAATCGCTAGAGCTTAACTGAACTAGCAATTAATCTACAGTCATAATGTGGACAGTGTGTAATGTTAAGGCATATAATGAAGAGTTGCAGTACCTCATCACTGTCGATCTTTACTAGAGAGCGGATATAAATTGGTCCAGTCCCACTAATGTGTCGTATTTTTTTGGCATTTGCTTCTTGCCCTTGTGGCAGTTTTAATTGGGCGATGCCATTTCCGACAGACTTTACAAACTCAAAGCTTGGAAAAAATTAATTGTATTTAAGTAATTTAACCCATTCAATTCCACTGCAAGATACAAAATTGAATACTACATACTTCAATAGCTTACGTGTTTGGTCCTGTAATATGCTTCTTGAAAATACTGTGTAATTCTGCTCGTAATTGATCTTCTGACCACGATTTATCAAGACTCCATGCATCAACAAATAAACTTCTTTTCACGAGGTCTTCCTTTACTTGTCGCCGAGGGACTTGATCCCAATCTGGATTAGGTAGTAGACACACGTCTTTTATAACCAACTCTGCAGCAGGTTTGGCTTTGTATTTCCCTTTTTGTTTTGTAGTGTAAGGGATAAACCGACCTCTTTCACTTCTTCTGGAACTATGAATCCTATTAGCAATTCCCGACGACACACGAGGAATTTGGAATCTTTGGCCGATTTCTTCTTCAACTGAGCCAAAGGACCTGCTACTAGTACTATCATCGCTTCTGCTTGGGGTATTGCTGGAAGCAGTGTCCGGTAAATTTTGAAGAGACGACACAACACGCCTAACTATTTCATTTAAGTTGTCCGCCATTTTTGATATGAGTCATAGTTATATCTTATTAAGTAGGTTTTGAATGGTTTTGTATGAAATAGACCATATCCGCTAATATCTCAGTGACTTCCGTTTCCCTTCGACTTATATTTTTGCACTTCGATTTATTTTTGAGTGGTTCGACTGTATGCATCGATGTTTCCTATTGACATTGGGCATTTTGTTTTAGTTTTTAACGTTTGAACTTCAACTTTGAAAGTTCGACATATTTATGAGCGATTGTTTTTCGATTGTTCATGACCGGAACGGAACGCCATACAGATGACTGAGGTAAACGATTCCTTGTGGTTGACCTATACGAAAAAAGTTGTGTCACAGACGAAAATGAGTTCACAGACATCAAATATAAATCTTTTTTTCTGGTTGGACACAGGTCATACAACACATTTAACATTGAGAAATTTACAGGACAGGACAGAAGGTTTTCACGTAAATCAATGTACATAAGTCTTGAGTACGCACGATTAACATCCAGTTCATTCACAGCTTTAATGTTGTTTCGTCTCAACAACAAAATCCTTATTCGTGTATCTTTTACTGTTCCGACAGGAACATGCTTCAGATCCATGTTAGAACAATCTAACATATGATATTTCTTCACATAACAAGTTTGCTTTTATTTGTGAGACAATGGACGTACGTTTTAGAACACCAGCCAACTTTTATGTGTGTGGTCAAAGTCAGTAGGGCAAAAGCTATTTGGTTAGGTCGATGCTTTATAATTTAAATGAACCTTTTTATCCCGTTCTGAATAAAATTATTTACTGTTATGGCGAACGGCAAAGTGAATTTGGTGAAATAGAATCGAAAATTCCAAACATTTGCTTCGTCGAAGGATTCCCTGAGAACTTGTTTGAAATTCTGGAAGGTTGTCAAAACTCTTTAGTGGTCGTTAACAATTTGATGTCCTAGTGTTCAAATGATGAACGAATGTCGGATTTATTTACCCGCGGGTCACATCATCGCGGAATATCTGTCATGTATCTAACACAAAATTTATTTCCTCCAGGTAAACAATCAGCTTAAATTCCCTCTACATGAATTTTTAAAAAACCCAGAGATTCGCTAGGTATCGCAACATTGGCACGCCAAATGTATCCCAAGAAAACGAATTACCTTTTGCAGTCATTTCAAGACACCACATGTCGCCCTTACGGTTATCTTTTGCTCGATTTGCATCAACTCACACCTGACAATATGCGTGTCAAAACAAATATCTTGCCCGGTGAAAAGCAGATTGTCTATGTACATAAGTGATAAGCATCAACATCAACAGTCAGTTATCATCGAACATGGACCATCTGATGTGATGTTGTGCATTTGTGAATGCGCAGTTAATGTGTTAAAAGGAAGTGTACCGATATCTGCGAGTCAAAAACGACGCTTGTCGAGGTATATGAAACATCTCAGAGCCTTAGCGAACAAGAGAATTTCAAAAGCTAAAATGAAAAAACTTTTAAATCAAAAAGAAGGCAATCTACTGAGCGCCTTCCTACCGCCGGTTTTGAGCGTACTAGGGAGTTTGCCGAAACAATGAAGCATGTCAAGCAAATGATTTTAGTAACTGAAGTCGTTTATAATAAATATGAACAAAAGCAAAAATTTGAAGTTTCACCGATTACGATGAACATGGTTCAAAAAAGGTACTCAACTCTCACACATCCTTCACCAAGACGGTTTAAGTGACGATCAAAGGCAAAAATTTTAAAAGCAAACTTTGAGCAATTCCTTAATTTGAAGCAGATACCCGCAGTACACGTGGTGGATACCGCCGACGGGAAAAAAGAAACTCAGTAATAAACAACGAAGTGCGTACATTTGCTGACTCCGTCATTGTACAAAGTGTGCCCAAGACGATGCGTGAACGCACGACAGCAATACTGCAGCGTCTTAAAACATTGCCGGATATAATAATTTGGGATGATTCAGGACAAGTCAAACTTGACGGTGTTATTATCCCTCAATCAAATATATCAGACCTGATTAATGACTCTGTAAGAGGGAGAAAGAATTTCAATCCTACAGATTCTAGAGAATTCTTTCGCGTTTTATCAAAAATAAACATTCCTCGTGATTTGGTTCGGAACGATGTAAGATGGGAAGAAGCCCACCACAGAGGCGTAAGTACGAAAATGACAACACCTTAACCTTCCTCCACACTAAAGAAAACTCGTTTACGTTGGATAGACTATTAAACTTTGACACGTAAAGATTTGTTTTGTTTAAATAAATAGAGCAGTTGATATCAATTTCCTGATTGTTATCATTAGAATATGCAAATAGAAAACACAGGCAATTAGTTTACAAAAAGAAAATTTTATTGATAACAAACGCATGAAGCTTTTACAACAAATTTTATACTTGACTGAATGCCATCATTTAGGGTTACACTAGTTTCTATATGAAAATGTCTGCTAACGAAACTTGATACCTTGTTATCGTTCTCAACAGTATTACCATCAAACATGTTTACTATCTTATGCTATATCCTCGCACTCTATGGCTGAGGTAAAATATACAATATTGTCCACATACATCTGTCCAGATACTTTGCAATTGACGTTTATTAAATCCCCAATCATAACGTTTCAAATAATCTCTAAAGAACTTATGATATCGTTCCGGTGGTTGTCCATAGCTATTGAAGAATTCGGCTTTTCCTTCTGAAGGGAAGCAAAAGCCAACCCAATGGGTTCTGGTTTTCTGCTTACATCCGTGTTTGGGATAAATCCTTTTGGGTAGCTTTCGATTTCTTTAGGCAGACGATCGGCTGGAAAAGCATCCAAAACATTGGTAGATTCAATAACCTTTTACTGCAATTATAAAACATACAAAATTTTACAAAATGTCACAAAATCAAAATATAAGGAAAATGTCTTACAAAAAGGTATCTCAGAGAACAATTGTTTCATATACAATTACAAGTTTTGTATTTTTTTTTTAAAATACAAAACTTGTAATTGTATATAAAATTCAAGTCATTACTTCTAAGAATAAATGAATATTATAAAACACAGCATCTACTTATATGATGTCCATATTGTCATTAGAAGCCAATGTTGCTTGTGAGCAACACATTTATGTCACGATCATTTCTACAAGTATGTTTCTGTAATTCCTGAGTTTCAAAATGTCAAAATAATTTTTAGATATTTATCATTCATAGCTATGTGTAAAAATCCCATAAAATTTACACATAAAAGAGAACTAGATGAAATTTTCTTACCTTACACACACTTCCACACTGACTGGTTGATGCAGCCATTTTGACGACATATAGAATCTGTAGTATTTAGCCTAGCACCATTTTTTAGGGCTGGGGACACGTTTTGGATGTTGTTCAGCAGCAACATTGGCTTGGAATGGGAAAATTTTGTATGTGAGAACAAAGACGGGTAGTATATTCAATGGTGCTCAAGAGCAACAGTGGCCCCTAGAGGGTTAACTTTAAATGCCCCGTGTGACAAATTTGTCACACGCATATTTATAGAGCTAGTGCATCCATATTATATTATATTTTTCCTTAAAAATGCGCTTAGTGACACATTTGACCCTTAGTTAATATTATTAATGAGCTGATAATGCTTATTGTGAAGACTGGGCTTGAAAACAACAATTTAAACATGGCAGTCATTTTTAAAATATGCGAAGTGAAAATCTTGTGAAGAAAATGTGAGAAATACACTGTATAAAAGGTAAGTTACTGTGGTATTATATATTGAATCGTTTTAATTGACTCACAAGCTTATAAAATTAGTTTAGAGTTTTTTTGATTATATATTTTCTTTCGAAAAAAATACATGGAAATAGTTGTGTGTCAAATTTGTCACAATGGGCATTTGAGTACCATTTTAATTAATGACACATGGAATTACAATTGTTACACCGATGGAATTCTTCATTATTTTTGAATGTTTAGTTAACTAAATTATTAAGAAAAATGTTATTTAATAGAATTTAAAAAAAATTGAACAATATATGTAGGTCTTAAGCTAGAATTTTGAAATACTATTAGTATAATTTTATTATGAATGATTTTGGGTTATGTTTACTCAACACAATTGCCGGTGTATTTATTTCCCTACATAACTACTTTTTAATTTTTCAATTTCTAGAGTATGAATAAGAAAGAGGATATCTTTGGTGTTGAAGATGTGTTGCAGGTAATAGATGATATCAACACTAGTGAAATTGATTTCAGTGAAGAATCATCTGATGATGAATACCAGCTAATTGCTGATAATGATGGATACATTCATTTGCTTTGTGATTCTGTAACAAGTGCAGATGAAAACGATGAAGAAAATACAAGTACAGATGGTGATGATTGCATTCCATTGGCTCAAAGAGTCAAGTCTTTTGCTGACAATGAGACAAAAAAGGGTGTTTATCGATGGCGAAGACATAGATATGTGCATGTTGAAAAGCCTTTCATGGGTGATCAGTATATTGTACCTGAACCTCCACCATCACCTTTGACAATTTTTCAACAGTTTGTAAACAAAGAGATGCTTAAAAACATGTGTCAGCAAACTAACATTTATAGTGTTGAAAAAACTGGAACATCTGTTAATACTACAGTACAGGAATTAGAAAAATTAATTGCAATATACTTCCACATGGGGCTTTGTCAGCTTCCATCTATAAGAGCATACTGGGAGAGAGCTACACGTTACCCACCAATTGCTGATGAGATATCCCGAAACCGATTTGAGAAGCTCCTTACAGTACTACATTTTATTAACAACAATGATGCAACTGATGACATGAAAAAGGATCGTGTTTGGAAATTACGACCTTGGCTTAGAGACTTAAGAAGTAACTTTCTCAAAGTTACTCCTGAAGAACACCAGTCAATTGATGAGGTAATGGTTGCGTTTAAAGGGAAGCATGGACCAAGGGTGTACATGCCAAAAAAGCCAACAAAGTGGGGATTCAAATTATGGGCTAGAGCATCATCTACTGGTTTTATGCATGATTTTGATGTGTACCAGGGAGCAACTGAAGAAACCAAAAGTCGCTCTGATGTAGGTGTTAGTGGTGAGGTGGTTCTCAAATTGGCATCTACCTTGCCTGATAACAAAAACCACAAGCTTTATGCTGATAACTACTTCAACTCCTTTGCCTTAGTTGAAAAGTTACTAGACAGAGGTATACAGTTCATTGGAACGATGCGTCAAAATCGAATGAAAGGGTGTCAGCTTAAACCTGAAAAAATTCTAAAACAGGAAGGTCGAGGAGCATATGATGAGGTAAATGACTCATCAAAAGGAATTACCATTGTCAGATGGCTGGACAAAAAGGCAGTGACATTGGTATCTACTTACTGTGGAGCAGAACCATTAGGTGTTGCAAAGAGATGGGAAAAGAAGGAGAAGCAATATGTGGAAATTCCCAAGCCAAAGCTTGTAGACGAGTACAATAAGTTCATGGGGGACATTGACTTAATGGACATGCTTTGCTCATTGTACAAGTATTCCATAAGATCAAGGCGATGGTATCTTTACCTTTGGTTTCATACCCTTACAGTGGCTATGGTCAATTCATTGCTTCTTTTCAGAAAAAATCAGAGAGGAAAGAAACAAATCAAACTTCGTGACTTCCAAGCAACAATTGCAGAGGGATTGATTAAGATAGGAAAAGAAAGAAAAAGAAGACGATCTTCCAATGCCTCGACATCTCGAAAAAGACCAACCACTCAACCAAATGAAGAGATACGGTTTGATAAAATAGATCATATGCCTTCCTGGGATGACAGACATCGTCAGAGATGTAAAATTTGCTCTGCCTTTCGCTCTCATGTTGTCTGTGGCAAATGCAATGTTTATCTCTGCTTCAATAAAGACAGAAATTGCTTTATGGAATACCACACAAATAAATAAAATCATAAAGATTTCTACATGCTTTCATGCTTTTGTTAATGAATACTGTAAAATTATTTTAGTTTTAAACTCTAGTTTTCTTTATTATAGAAAGTAGCACTTAATGCCCAATGTGACAAATCTGTCACAAATTTTTTTAAGAAGAAAAAATGTTTTTTTTTTAAATTTTTTAATTGAACTTGGTATTGCTTGTTATTTTAAGGAAAAATACCAAAGAACAGATTTTTGCATTGAGTTCCTCCATCCTTGGGCATTTAAGGTTAAAGACTCGGTGGAATGCCTCCACAGCCATATTGGTGTTGATTCCCATTCCACGTCTAAAGCAATAGGCCCAGAATTCTGTTCTACCGGACCACTCGCGTTGGAAATAACTGTAAAACTCTTTGCTTAAATTTGGAAGTTCTTGCAAAAGGTGCTTCAGGAATGTATTGAACGATGATTCATCTGTTTGCTGCAATACAGTGCAAAACATTTTATAAATTTCTGCTGCCACTAAGGTATCTTTAACTTTAGAGGGTAATTCTTTTTGCCACGCTCGGTCCACATGCCAAGTACAATACAAACGTTTTGGACGTCCACCCATTATTGCCAACCATGCATTGTAATACTGACTTGCCAGGTCAGACATGAGCCATTGTGGTTGTAGTACTCCACAGTTCTTTATTTTTTTAAAAAATATGCACATGTGAGTGAAATCTTCATGGTTGGATAGACACCATGCAACTGGGAAACCAGACCCAAATTCATCCAAAACAACAAGTGATGTAAGAAGGAAATCATACCCAGTTGTACCATGAGTAGCGTCAATGCAAATTCCCTTTCTTGAAAATTTCTCTGCCTTGTATTTTTGTAGTGGGTTTTGAATAACTAGTAAAAAGTCGTCTTTTGTTATATTCACATGATCAATAGCTGCATCTCCTTGAAACGTAGCAAATAAGATTGGATTTTGTTCGCTTTTGTCCCATTCTTGAACCCATGCACGCACACTTGTTTGATCATCACTGTGTTTCTGAAAATCATTTAGTGCAAAATCTGTCTTTATGTTGCCAATGTCTTTTTTATATAGCAGATGGTGACGCTTAAATTCTAAATCACTGTGCTTTGTGGCATCTTCTCTGATGTTATTCAAAATTCTGTCTCTGCTAACACCTTGTTGCAGACAAGGTGCAATTTCTTTTCTTCTGCCCTTGGACAGCCATGTGTGCTACACTTCCTTTTTGTGTGCGTGATGTGTGTGACAAATTTCTGCTAGTATCTTTCCATCATCCCTTTTTGTGACCTTTATGCCAGCAGTCAGGGGCGAAACTAGCACCTTTTTAATGGGAGGGGAGCTGGGGATGAAATTGCCCTGCAAGGACAAAGATGCCCGGCAGATCAGATGGAACAGTACTTACACTATATATATTATTGTAATACATGTTGTATTCTTGCGGCAGAACGCGCTTTAGCGTACTATTAAATATTTAATGGCAGTTTTTGCATCATTGCAGTTGCCCAATTTTTTAAAATTACATTTAAGTCAACATTGTCCGTAAGATCTTTTTCACATGCAAGAACGATTAAGTCATTTAATCGCGTATCTTTCATTGTGGATCTCAGGCAGTTTTTACAATGTTAAGCTTGCTGAAACACCTTTCATCTTTTGCCACGGACACTGGAGCGGTCAGCAATAGTTGATACGCCTTGCACACCGTTAGAAGCAAATAACGCAACGTCTTCAAGGGATTTGGGTTCTGATTTAAGTTGTGATGACACAATATTATTGAAAATTTCCAACTCAGACAGCAGTATTTCTGCATCAACATCTTTTACCGCCGGTGGAAAAAGACTACACATTTCATTAACTGTTTCAGCCATTGGCCTTTCTAGCGGCAGCTGTAAGCTCTCTCCAAGAGATTTTATTTCGTCGATGCAATCTTTAATGTTATCGGTATACTCGGTAATAAGTGAGTCTACAACCAAGTACATTTCCTTTCGGTAGAAATCTTTAAATGATATTTCTGTTGTTATTTCGGAATGCTTGCCAATTCGTTTGGGTGGCTTTCTTGATCGATGATGACGAGTGTATTCTGCCATTACGTCTATTCCTACTTAAATTCCAAATCCAACCATTGCCTCTATCTCCGAGTCTAATCCGTTCTCGTCACTTCGAATTTGTCTAAGGTTTTTTACTGTAGCATTAATCAGGTTAAGTGCATCAACTATATTTAGCTACTCCTCCTGCAGTGGTTTGGTTAGGATTTTGGTTTTTGTCATTAGGATTTGCATGAACATAAGAGAAAAAAGAAAGTCGAAACTAAGAAATTTCTTTTTTATTCCATCGCCTTTAGATTTTACTTTTGATTCTACATCTCGAGCATTAATAACTTTCACAATAGCATTTGGTATTACCTCATAACTTCTCCAGACAGCATCAATGGACTCAGAAGTGTAAACCCATCTCTTCTTTGACAAGTTTCGAAACTTTAAATTGTTTTCAACATCTTTGCAACCTTCTATAATTTTATTTCTTTTTGTGCTTTTGCTAAAAAAGACATACGTCTTCTAGAGCGTCGTACATTGATGTAATTATTGAGCTATGTTTGCAACAATGCTCGTTGAATGTATTAGACCGATGTCCCTGGCAAGGGATTTAAGGTACTTGTCGTTTTAAAATTTCTTGCAACACGTTTTGAGCACCATTTAGTCGTCCAGACATTGATGTTGTGAAATCGTATGTTTGAAATGCAAGCACATCTATATCGATTTCATTTTCCATTAAAGATTTTATGACATCTTTAGCCTTTCCAGCACCAGTTTTATCAAGGGTCTCTTTCATTTCAACCAGTCTCTTGCATGGTATGCCCGTCTGGTTGACATATCTTACAGCAACGATAAGCTTGTCTTGATTCGATGTATCAGGTGTAGTGTCTTCAGACACAGAAAATACACTGGCTGACTTAATTTCAGCACGAATTTCATCCCTCACAGATTGAGCCAGCAAATGAAGCATCTCATTTTGTGCCTCTGAGCTTGTTGTACTGTATGGCCTGAGGCGGTGATCGTCCAGCCACAGCTTGAGAACAGCACAATGTCTTGAGAGAAGATTTACAATCTGAATGAAATTTCCGTCCTTGTCATCGCCACCTCCTCTGAATGCCAATGACTGCCTTGCCAGAGTGCAAGCCACATCAAGTAGAATCAACATAATTTCCTTGTTCTTTTCTTCATCTGCTTTCTCTTGGATCAATACTTCCTTCATTTTCGCATTCATCATCACATCAATATGGCCAGATGTTATTGAGAAACGAGCAAAATCAGCCAGAGCAGCTTGATGGGACTTGGTACTGAAGTGTTTATGAAGTTTTCCTTTCTTGTTTGCACCAACGCTCCTCATTTTCTTCCATGATCGTACACCATTTATCCATGCTGGATCACTTTTTTCTCGTCCTGGCCCACTTGGAAATAATAAGAATACAAAGCAATATGCTTTATTTTCCTTCTGACTGTACTCAAGATGAGGGAAAGAGTCGTACTAGGATGCATTAAATTTTTTAGGTTTATTTTTGGCTTTTGTTTGATTTACAGGAAAAGACTTCAATCTAGGTTGACAGGGTCCTTGTTGCATGAGAAACTTTCTTTGATCGTCATTCATATCTCGTGGCCTTTCGCTTGGATCACAAGAAGTAATAAAGAATTTTTAGTGGTTTCCTCTAAAACTGGGCAACCAATTTCAATTTCATCTCGCTGTGCTTTGTTGATGACAATTGAACATGTTTTCACCAGTTTCACAGACAAATCTTGTATTTTTTTTTGCTATGTGCTTCACTTTTTCTGAAAAGCGCTTCGCGTTTACGTGTCTATCATTATCTATTAACACTATTAAGAATGTGATGAATAAGTTGTGATAGAACTCTTAACTGTCCTGCACAAGTGATCCATGTAATATCTACTTGGTTATCTGAATCACAGTTTGATGACTTTTCACTTTGTGCAGCCTAAACGTATAAAGACATTGTAAAAAAGACACATCCAGTAAATTAAATACAAAAATTTGCTTTTAGCAGATGAATAAATGACAATTGAAAGATTTAAAAAAGATTCGTACTTTTATTCTGAACTATATTTTCAAATTATGTGGATAACTGTTCGCACGTATCCTAGTGTTTAGTTTTGTAATTAGCCCTGAAAACTCAATCGTTGCCCTGCAACGTTAACATTTTTGGGGGGTTAGTCCCCCCCCCCATACCCCCCTTAAATTTTGCCCCTGCCAGCAGTGCAGTTTTGCTGAATTTTACAGGATCCTAGAAATTCAATCACGAATCATAAGCTTGTACTTTTTTGCAGCAGCTTGTTACATTTAATATGTATATGCACAACAATTACATTGTGCCTTGGTGCACCTTTTTTCAGATCCTTTTGGTACATAATTGCCTCCTCAATTGCACTGAAAGTATTGCACATTATTCTATCCCCATTTCTCTTTCCGTATGAGCATATGTAGCCCTCTTCAATTTTATCTTTCCACTCTTCGACAGCTGTTCAATTGTTTCATTAACAAAAATCAGATGCTTTTCATACTTCAAATAAAAATGCAATTTATAACTGGTGAAAAAGCAGGGTAAAATTCTACAGACCTATCATGTTGTCCAACAGCACAGTTTCAGATTCCATTGCCATGCCATGTGCTTTGCTTAAATGCTCTCTTAGCTGCTGAATCTTCAGCGAACTGAACTTGAAGACTTGGCAATTAGAATTGCTCATCTCATCATTTACATGCTTCAGCAGCACATGACAATTCAAGTTGTATTGATGAAAAAAAACTAAATGGCATTCGGAGCAATGATATTGTTTCTTTCTTTGTCTTTTGTAATAATTGTATTCTCATTTTATGGAGTGAAGGTCGCAATGTCTTCTATACTGATGGGCTTGCTTTCAGCTGTGATGATTTTGTCCTCTACAGTGACCTTGCTAACAGCTGCAATAGTTTCATCTTCTGTAGTGGTGGACATTTTACCAGT